GTGCTATAAAGAATAATCCCCTGTAAATGTCAATATCCCGGCTAATAATAGTCAACGCTTATTGATTCTGCTATCTCACTCCTTGATTTTTAGCTGGCCCCCACGCAATATCCACCGGTACTTTATCCAGAATATTGAGGAGTACGTCTATGGTTGAAAGACGATCCGGAATAACAGTGCTACCAGGAAACACCATCTGATTGCACCCATGACGCCGGAATCTTCTATTGTCAAAAGCTACCCTGACATACATCATGAGGTAATCTTATCGAAGAACTTCGTATATGCGCATTTGATTCCAGGGGGATGGGTGGGGCATTGCTCTGATGGTCGCTTTGACAAATCGACTGAGACACTGAACAAAAGTGGAGCATTAAGCGCTGGGTGATGTATATATTCGCCCGTTTTCTCAGTCCCAACGACTAGCACGACCTCGTGTCCCAACTGCACTGATATTGACAGCTCTGAAACGCTCAAACCTAGTAGACAACGGTGAATAATATTGGTGACGTCACTTGGTGTTGGACTTATAAACACTCTAGTTCTGGTACCGCGCTGGGTTCCTCCAAAGGTGTTTTTCTGCAAGAGATAAAACTATGGACGCCCATAATGCCCTTGTTGAATGGAAGAAGGCACGTTTAAATTTAACCAAAGCGATCCAGATTTACAAGGCTGCTTCAACCACCCTTGAAACGGCCTGTACCCAGGCCTTGTATCATGGTACAAAAGCTCTACCTATCGATGATGCATGCTTAGAGCTGGACTCTCAGTCTTCCGGTCTAGTCGCCGAAGAAAACAGCCTGCGTGATACCCGCATCTCGCTCCTTCGACTTCGGAACCAATCGAAAAGGCTCATCTCCATCAACGCGTATCCTGCAGAAGTCCTAGCTCGTATCTTCTTTTACGCCAAGAGGTTTTGCTATAGTCTCGGCGATGAACGTGAATTCAACGTACTTGCCGAGGTCTGTTCGAAATGGAGGGGGATTGTTACAACTCAGCCAGAAATGTGGACACATATCGATGTCTTCCCAAACTCCTCGCTTCGCATGGCTCGTGTGTTCCTCGAGCGGTCACAGGACCTCCCACTTTACGTGCATGTGGTGGACCGGAGCGAAACGTCAGCTCCGTCTCTCCATGTCCGTCGAGTCATCCAACTACTCGAGCCTCATATGCACCGCATCCATAGCCTCAACTTCGACGCACAGGGAGACCGTATGCTTCAAACTTCGATGGGACTTTTGTTGGAAGCTTGGGCAGAAAAGGGCCCAGCAACCGCCACATCCTTACACTTTTATCGACACCGCGGGAAATCAGTCTACTACCCCGACCTAGTTGAATCCGAAGAAGGCGTCCAGGAGACACACGTTACCCCCAGCAACGTTTTTTCCTCGATCCGGACTCTCCATCTCGAAGGCGTTTTGTTCGACAAGCAAAACCCGGTTTATCGAGGGCTCGTAGATCTTCGGCTTCACGGTCCGATGCGCTGTATTGTTCCGATGGCTACCCCTCTCGATCCGATTATTTCTGCCTTTGATATTCCTGTTTCGCTCCTCGCCGACGCTCTCGCAGCCAGTCCGCAAATAGAGACACTGAAATTAAGCTTCCTCAACGTGACTCCCGAAGAAGGATGGCACTCGCCTGGTCCCATTCAACTGGAATATCTGAAGGTGCTGGATATCTCTGGCCTCGACGCCCGAAGCACAAAGCTGGTGCTCGCATTAATCTCTCAACCGAACTCTTCCGCCAAGCTCAGCGTCGGACTTACCTTCTACATCCACGACGCGTTCGAAGAAACGATTGGTTTTTTCTCTCGATCAGAGGTTACAGCCGTATATCGCAAAGATGACGTTGAGCACCTTATGCTGTGGGGGCTCCCTAAACCGATATCTCATCTGCTCGTGAGCGACACTGCAGTCGTCGAGCGTCAGTCGATCATGATACAACAAGCCCAGGAAGAAAACTTGATCCCAGGGCCACTCAACTTTACGCCGATCCCGCACCTTATCCTTCGCTCTTGCATGTTTACTCTCGAGGCTCTGGTAGAGTTGATTCGCGCCTGCAACACCCAATCCATCGTATTCGACCAATGCACCTATCTGGGAGAAAGGTTGCCTGATGAAGGAGGAGAGATGGAAGGCTTATCCATGGACGGCTTAGCCACAGATCTGTCACTCTCTTGCCCTAGCGTCCAGTGCATTGTTCTCGAAATCGGACCCGTCGTTTGGCCGGGAGCCAACCTGTTCCAGGGGCGCATTTAGTTATGGATAATTTGTATGATGTGAATTCGTATCTATAAAAATTTATATGAGATTCCTAACCTTGAAATAAGATGTGGTTGCATCTCGACTTGGCTTTGAACTGTATAGTCCTGACTTCTGGCTTTGAGTGATATGCGCGAGTTCGGGCGCTTGCGCCTCTGTATCAACATCCTCAAACACGCCTCCTTGATTTTATTTCGATCATCTTTGCAGTCTTTGATCTACGCCTATATGGTTCCTCGGCAGTGCTTGTCTACTTTGAAGAACGTCATTCACAATGAAATACGATTACATTCTATGGAAACCCAACTCGGTAGATGTATTTTAAAAAGTATGTCGTGTTGCTCCCCCTATCCCTCAGATCCTCTAATTTTCGTCCAGGAGCATTGAGCACAACTGCCCTCTCTCGACGTTTACTGCCACTACAAAACCCAAATCATGCTAGGTCTAGGCACTCTATATCTCGACCTCCGGGGTGGGAACCACGGCGTCTGGTAGAACCTTGTTCGGCCGAAGATGTAATCGCCTACTTTGCAGAACATTTTCCACCTCTGCAATTTCCTAAAGAGACCGCTTTGAGAATGATCACCCATACTAGCTGGAGAGCATCGCTGGAAGGTAACAACAATCGATTCTCATTTATTGGTGAGTGGTTCATGGTCGATCTTGTGACTTGCATCCTCATGCATCTCTGCTTGGAACCAGGTCGAAGAGTCTTGGAGACGTATACCATGGCATTCTTGCACGCTCACAGCCCGCTCACACCAACGCCGCCCCTTACCCAACCGCCCTCTGAACCATCACCCGACACCCAAATATCTCGCCTTCCTCCCCCAAGCTCGATCCTTGAACAAAATTTTGCAGAGATTGCATCTCAAGCCATGGATACACGGGTGCTAGGCGAGATCGTAGGGGATGCATGGAAACTTGAGCGTGTCATGCGCTGGGTGCCAAACCGAACGGGTGAGGGTAGTTCGAAGGACGCTGGGATATACAAAGTAAGGGGCACCACGGTTGAGGCCGTCGTTGGAGGAACGTTTCACCAGTTTGTGAGTGGGTAGGCTTTGAGCCGGAGCGTATCTCACCCCACTCGGCTCGAATAGGGTGGAGTTGCTGCGCATAGGCTTTTCCATACACGAGTGCTTCCTATGGTTGCCTTTTCACTCCCTATCGAATACCGAAATGCTGCTGTCGAAGTTGGAAAGCGATTGGGTGGACTTAGAGCTCCAATTCTCCTCAACCAACAATCGCCGTCCGCGCGGCTTGCCTCGGCCACCGGATGAACGAAAATCCTGAGCTTTTTTGCGCCTTTATCCTGCAATGTTTTATCGCCGGCATATTTATCATGACAATCCCCTCGTGCGTAATGAAGAATTCATGCTCACGTGAGCATGGGGGATTACCCCGCATTTGAGCGCAGACCTTGTTGCCTTGTTGGGACGGCTGTTTGGCCCGTTCATTCCAGTGATGACGACATCTTCAACTGTATGCGGGGTAAATGATCAACAATTTCACGGTTTTACCTTCGGGTATGACAGTCAGTCGCACAAAGATCCCGTTAACCCAAGTTGAGCAAGTTGAGCGTCGTACGATCCATGCAGCCAGTGTCCGAACGTCCCACACCCAAGGTCACAAGACCACCGAACCAGGCAGGGCCGGCAATACCTCTCCTCCCAAACACGGAATCCGGTCTTGCGTCGTCCCTCATTCGGGCGAGGTCAGCTGTCTGCGATGGGGCGTTTATAAACCCCCCTCCTGGAGTCGTGTCCACTCATTCCCTACCCTCTCTTTCCCCTCCCCCACATCCGCATTCCTCGCCTCGTCTATATCTATTGGGCGTCATGTCTTCTCTTGGGTCCGCTGCCTCCATCGAGGTTGCCGATTGCCTCTTCTGCGCAAACCATAAGCTCGAAGTTGTACGTGTCATCGGCCGTGGATGATGGATCGAGTGCTGACAAGGTCGATGTACAGTGCCGGGAATGCGAGTTTGACGGACGAGAAGACAATGATTTTGCTCTCGGCGTATGTCTCCTCTTGCTGATGTTACTTGCCATGCTAATCACATTTCGCGCCAGTTCGATCCTTCTCCAGAGCGTGGGTCGCTAGAGCTCGCTGCAACGACGACCAACAAGGATGGCGAGTGAGTATAGCCGCATTAGTCTAGCCACTTGTGAGGCTGATCGATTGATCTAGGATCGTTTGCAAGAAACATGCCAACGTCGACTGCAAGCAGTGCTACAACTGGAAGAAGCAGCTCACGAAATTGCACAAGGACGCCAAGAAGGCGAAGTAAAGCCCAACGTAAGTCGTGGCAGTCTTTGGTATTCACCCGGTTATTGACTCGCACTTTCAGCTCGATTCGCGTCGTCGCCTGGTACCTGCTGCGCTTGTATTCCTTTCTTTCCGAGTCAAATTATGTTGTAAGATATGTCGGGCGCAGGCGGGGCGAGCGTCGTGCCATCGTTGTCTTTTAGCTGTATTATTTTTGAGAAAACCCAACAAATGAATTCATATTGTATTCCTCTTAATGCCTGACGTGCTTAAACATGCCTCGGCCGATGAAGCACCCAGTGGGGAGCGATCGAAGTGATAGGCGCGTTGTATTCGTAATTCTGCGAGATATAATCTCCGTCGGCCCTACGCCCACGTAGTTACACGGCCTTGGACAACTCGATGGCCTGTAGTCTTGTTGACTCTTATCTTGTTGACTTTTAATTGTGGCGGTTTACCCATCATGAACAAGGCAGCTTAGCAAAGTGGTTACTGCGATTGATTAGAATTATTGAAAGAAATTTCAAATTCAGTTCATATCAATTCCTCTTCGAGGGCGCAGGTTCGAGTCCTGCAGCTGTCGTTTTGTGGACCCACCATTCTTTACCATTTTTGTCCTCTCGGTATCTCGGCGTTATATTTACTGGCCACGTGCAAATGACAACACGGCTTAGCAAAGTGGTTACTGCGATTACTTTTTCCTTATCGCGGCGACTGTAGACTCACACCCGCGTGAGACACTTGATGCGTTCGGCAACCTCGCCACCCACCTACCATTCTCTCGACCTAGTCCGTTCTGTGGGTCAACAACAGATGTGCCCCTCTTCTATCGATATCATTCATTTGTGGCATTTTAGGATAGGAGACGAGAATTGATTTTATCGAGACACGAGCGGCAGTGCCTAAAATACACTTGGCTAGAGATGGATTATTGTAGCTCAAGCAACAAACCTAGACGGCTTCTTGTGCCCTAGTCCTCGTCCACAACTCCGGCAACGACTCGTTGCAGTTCTCCAAACACATCCGACAACGCCTGTGACTTGATGGATTGGATAAACATGCGCACAAACTTCCGCCGAACTTGGTCGTGCTTGTCGCCCTTTTCGAGTTCGAGTTTCTCGAGCACCTGGCTCAGGTAGTTGCCCATCTCCGAATTTTTAAAATACGGAAACCCGAGTTGGGGGCACACCAAGACCAAACACCCGAGCTAATCGAGACGTCGATCAATCATGCAACCCCTTGGCCGCCCAACAACCACTTGCCTGTGTGTACGCCCGCAGCAATCGTCTCGCCCCCCTCAGATAATTCTCGTGTGCCTTTAAAAATTTTTCGTACTTGTCGTCACGTTCAATCGGTTTAACGCAGTACCGAAGACGAAAAATCGCGTCGAGCGCCTTTTGCTTGCTGGTCGTCGGATGCTCCTCGTTGTCGTCCACATCGCCTGCGTTCGCCTCCCCGCCTACGGGTGCCTGTCGAGCGCGTCAGCGAGATCCAAAGCAAACGCGAAATGCGCCGGATACGCACTTTCGGATGTGCCAGACGCCTTGGTGAACTTGGAAGGCTTGGGGATACGAGCAGGCGAGTCAGGTTCAATGCGCTTGGACATGGCGGTCGAGAATGAGGAATGGCACGGCGGGCGGGATGAATTTATATCCGTTGAGTTCGAGCCAGCCCTGAATCCGTGCCACGGAAGACGACCCGGGTGTGGCATCCACCTCCAGATGAATACCGACGAGTCATTATGCGCCTTTTCTTTGTCCAGAACAAATTTTTAATTGGTCGAGACTCTCTTAGTAGGGGTTGCTAACTTCTACATGACACACTCTTTGATTGTACATGTACAGCGAACGATACTCCTCATAGACTTTCGATTAATCGTATTTACAGGGCTGACGGGAGAGCCAGACGCTCTGCTACCGATGTCAAGGGTTTAGGTGCAGTACGAGTGGCGAAAACGAATGGAGCGCCACGGCGTTGAGAGACGCGTAACACGCCAAGCGCCCAATTCACGTGACTGGCAAGCCGTCAATATTTACACAGAAGGCGAGTTCTCATCACACCGCACACTTTTATTCCAAACACCGAATCCAAAAAGCGGGTGCAAGTAGATTTGAGAGCCGCAAAAGCGAGCGAAACGAGATTAATCGAGATCGAATCCAAGTGAGATCAAAAAAGGCCCGTTTAGGTGCTCGTGGTGGGCGAATGTGGATTGAACCATGATGTCGGGCTCGTGGAACGAGCGAGTCGATGGCAGTAGTGGCAGATGTGAAGAGGACGAGATCAACACGTGTTCAATATCATATTCCCATTCGAGGCGCGTGACCGGCTTTCGCTTTGCTTGATATTTGTCTCAAGACTTGACAGACAGGGTTTGGGGTAGCTGTTATGACTTTAATCATACGCACGTCTTGGAGCGCTCGACGATCTTGACCGGGGCTTCGTTAAAGTGGCGTCCACGAATGTGGGAGATGTCAGATTCGAGATAACTGGACTAGGCGACCTTGACTTTTCTATTACCGTAGCGGCCCTGAGCAGAAGAGTTGCAGTCCAAATACTCAGCCAATCCCCGAATATCTAGCTAGCACGTGATACAGCCGTTTGCAGATTGGATGAGAGTGCAGCTTTTTCACTCTCTCTATTGTTTGCTTATCAATCGACGAAACCGGTAAGGACCATCTCCGGATGCGAGTCCGGAATGGCGGCTCGAGAGGTGCACCCGATGAGGCTCGATGAGGCCGATAACGCCCCCAGGCACGTGTGCGCTGCCACTTGACCCGCCAACGACGTAGCATACGTCATACGGCAGATATTTGATGGTGCTTGCTGAAACTTTTGTCCTTGAAAAATGCCAATAGGTTAGTCTAACTCAAGCATACAGCTTTGGCGTTGGGCAGTCACGACAATACAATTAACCCTTTTGTATGCAAACCACAACACCACACAATCATAGGCGTCGTCCCTGACTACGAGATCAAAAGAGCTAGGTGCATATATGTAGCACACAGTTTTGTTTTGGACTTTTCTGCTTTTTTTGAACCAAGTTTATTATATTCATGATGAGGCGTAGCCCTATGCAGGTACGAATTTTGCCAAATCGTACGCTATCTGGTACCTAGATGTATGCATGTAAACCTATCGAGAGACGAGTAGCTCAAGAATGTATCGAAGCGGTTAGTATGCCAGACACATCCCAGAAGTACCATAAAACCAGAATGGGAAGAGAGTGCGCAGGAAAGAAAGAGAAAATAAATCATGTTCCTGTAAACTCAAGTTTACCCAGAATTTGTCTGTGCGCCGGGCACCATTTGAGGGTAGGATCTTAACATAATCATTGCTCTCGTCTACAACTCTCCTCGGTCCGTAGGTCGCTGGCACGAGAGATTTGAGGGCTCCTGAAGTGGCGCTTTCAGTGCGTAGAATGACGAGCTGCGAGTTGCTATATGTTTCGGACTTATCATGCAGTCCATTTTTCTGCTCATCATCCAGCACGACTCACAACGTAATGCTTGTTGGCGACGAGTGTAGTTTGAATGCAGGATTGAGTATGCGTCTCAAAGGCTTCCCCCCTAGAGCTCATGATATGTAACTGTATCTCAACCTAATGCAGCAGAGTGGTTGCGCGCGATCTGGACAAGAAGCGCAACATCAAAAAGGCTCCAAACAGAGCATATATTTTTTCATAAAATAGCTCTTCGTTGATCGCGTGACTTAGTGCAAACCACAGAATACACACATTGGAATCAGGTTTCTAGCGGATCTGCTTGGAGTACAGTGGTATGACGTATGCTACGACGTTGGCGGGTCAAGTGGCAGCGCACACGTGCCTGGGGGCGTTATCGGCCTCATCGAGCCTCATCGGGTGCACCTCTCGAGCCGCCATTCCGGACTCGCATCCGGAGATGGTCCTTACCGGTTTCGTCGATTGATAAGCAAACAATAGAGAGAGTGAAAAAGCTGCACTCTCATCCAATCTGCAAACGGCTGTAAGGCCCCACTGTCTAACGATGCTTCTGAGCACTGACGAGATGCCGTTAGCACCGGTAGGCCGTGCTACTTCGGATCTAGTGAGCGCTAAAAAGCATCGTTAGACAGTTCGAGCTAGTGTATGCTAGCTAGATATTTGGGGATTGGCCGAGTAACGTTCAAGATGAATAGGGGATAGCTGAGGTTCATCTTGTGAGTTGTTGAACCGCCCTAGTCGTCAGCATGAAAGACTTGCTGACATCATTTCGGAAATTGCTCAGCTCTCGACGCCCGATATTTGACACTACATAATCACGCTGGTCGGTCGACTCGCGCCCCATCACTGGCAGCGAGCTCTACGCAATCCTCCTAGACTTGCGTTGATATCTGTAAGAAAAAAACTTACATGTATGCGTATGGATTTCTGGCACTGGTCTCATTGATGACGTTTTTTCAAGATAACCAGTACGGGACGTGATGATGATGGAGACTGGGACCCCATCAGCCCAGGCGATGCACTGCGACGGCTTGGTGCCCTCCTGTGATTTTTTCTACTTGTTAAGTTATATTCTAGATGTCCCGTTTGAACCTCTGCATGAATGGGGACCTCCATTAAATCGCAGTTTCCTCTCTTCGCAGAACAAGTGCATTCAGGCTGAAACTACGGATGCACATCATCTGCAGTTGAGCATCCAATGAACGAACGATAGTGTTCTTGGCTGTTGTCTGCGGAAAAAGAGGGCGATCCAGTAGAATACCCAGCTGACTCATGCTTTCCTTTTCAGCCCAAAATGAATGCAAAGCTGCGGCATCCACGAATATCCATACACTCATGCTCGCCAGATTGTGACGTGATTGTACGCTATCAACAAACTCGAACGTCAAGCAATCAAGTTCATCGAACCGCGGCCTGCAGGCTTATCGAAAATATGCGGGGACGGGAGTAGGCACACTAGCGGTAAAAAGGAGGCCGCCTTTGACGGCTCATATGTACTATATGCGGTCAAGACGAAGGACTCGGTTCACGTATCAACGGAGATATAGAATCGGCTGGAGAACGTCAAGGTGCTTATCGAAGGTGTGTCCTCCTTTGCCGAGTTAGCGTGCTCGCAGTGCTACTCGTCGGGATGTTGCGCTGAGACACTTGATGTGTTCGGCAACTTGCCACCCACTGCTTTTCTACCATTCTCCACATTTGGTTCATTCTGTGGATCAACGACAGATGTGCCTCTCTTCTATCGATATCATTCATTTGTGACATTCTAGGCTAGGGACCAAACAAAAGCACACAGGTTCCTGGCGGGATGCCGCACCGTCATCGTGAAGCTGGCAGGTCCAGCGATCACCATTGATGTGGGAGAAAGGAGGCAAGAATTGATCTTATCGAGACAGGAGAGAAGCAGTGTCTAAAATCCACTTGGCGAGAGATGGGTTATTGTGGCCCAAGCACTGTGCCCGCAGAGTGCTCGTGGGTGCAGATGTGGGATTCGCCCCCCACGAGACGATGACTTGGAGGCAACATGAACACGGCCGACAACGTGCGTGTTCCTGAGGACGATCGACATGGCCTATTCGTGGTGGGACGGAGGTGTTGGGCCGTCATCTACCTCGCGGCGCACGGCCCGATCGAGAAGATTTGCATCCGGGGGCTATTGTCTGGGACCCTGGGAAGCGGAGAGGCCGGACCCTGGGGCCAAACAGACGAGCCGCAGTCGGCCACTCATCCTCAATTGTCGGTGCACAATAGTGTCTGCTCACCAGCACCGCACCAGACGATTAAATACGACGATGAGCCGGCATGCCCCCCAGCTGTTCCCATCCCGCCGTCCCCCTCCCGCCTGCTCGACCGATCGCGATCGAGCGAGAGCCTATTGTCTGTGCCGCCTTATAGCCCGCTGGTCTGTGCTCTGCGCTCCCACTCTCCGCCATGGCCCCTGCCAGCTCTTCGTTTGCCCGCCGCCTCTGGGCCGTCCGCCAGACGCTCTTCCCGTCGTTTGAGCCCAAGGGATACCACCTCCAGTGGCGCCATGCCACCCTCCGTACGTCCCCGTCTCTACATGAATTTCCCACCGCTCATCTCCGTCCAGTCACGATCATGTTCACCTGCGTCGCCTTTACGATGCCGGCGTTCCCCCAGACCAAGTTGTTCATCGACTCGGACTATACCGACTCGACCGGCCTGAACGTCGTCGAATCGTACAGAAGTAAGTCCCTACTCTCGCTGGTATTCGACCGGTCTAATAAAATTGCCACCCAGAGATGCTCAAGATCACTCCTGGAATCATGTGGTACAACGTCGGGATCGCAGCATTCATCTGTCTCCATCTGATCGTCGAACCGTTCTTTGAGCGCGGCGCGCCCGTCTGGTTCGAGCTCTTCTGGATGTCTCTCCTCACCATTGGCGAGATCGTCTGCCTCGGGCTCATGGCCACCTCTCGTCCGGATGTCTGCAACTTTTCGTTTGGCGTCGACCCAACCCCGAGCCCCAAGCTCAACGCCAAGAGCTCGGCCACGTCCATCTGCAGCAACTGGCGCGGAATGAACGGCATGCTCGCTACCATCATCCTCATCTGTACGTCCCTGTTCCTGTTTCGAGAAGAACCCAAACTGACCTTGCTTCAGTCCTCGCCCACATGACATGGCACACGATCGTCTCGATCCGTCACAGGAACCAGCGCCGCACCGTCTTTGCCCTCCCCATCACCGACTACCGCTGGACGCTCCCCAAAGAGCGCGCACGCATCAACGAGACCTTCCCAGGCGACATCGAGGCCGCTGCCAAGTCCTCGGCCGAGACCAAGACCGCGCACACCGACTCGTTCGACTACTCGGCTCCCTCGGCGGATTACAAGTCCTCGACCGACGGCGAGATCTCGTTCCCTGCCACCGTCTCGGAAGACTACAACAACTATGCGCACACCGTTCCATCGTCCAAGCAAGCCAACCTCGATGCCCTCCCCGCACGTACCCAGCCCGTCATCGTCCAACAGTCGTCGATCACCCAATCCGACGCACTCTCCATTTCTGCGATTTCCGAGACCTCGTCTAGGGACGCTCCGTTTTCCGGCTATGGTCGTCGCATCTAAAACCTCATACACATCTTTTTTCGGGATTGGGATTCGTTGACTTATTCGGTTTCGGTTTTGGCGCCATGTATCATCAACAAGAACACTCTACACTCTTTTACATATGTTTCTCTTATTTTAACTAGCACCGGCCTGGAGCGCGGTCTGTTGTAGCGCGCTCCTTTGCCTTGGTGTACATTCATATCTTTTTTCTTTGTTGTATCATCGTGTGTGTGTGTACATTCCGCTTGGGGTTTTTCTTTGTGTTTAGTAGATTGGAATCAGATGAAAAACGTGTATTCGAATGTCTTGTGTGAGTCGAGTTTGGGTAGTGTGCATATAGGGGTTGAGACTTGAACTATATCCTAGAGTGACGTGGTGTATCGACATGGTTTTGGACTGCGCTCCCTTTTGTCTTTTAAACAACCCATGGGGACCGCGGGACCCGCCATTGGCCTTGAAGTCGGACAGGCGCTGATGGTATGACGTCCCTCCGTCCCAGATGGGCCGCCCCGAAAAAGCCGTTGGCCGAAACCCCGTCTGAAACTGGTAATCTTGGATAGCAAGCGTAACCGTAGGCAACATCGGGGCTTTTGCATCCCACTCTCTCAAGCGTAGGAAATCCAAATGCATGTGATGGACACAAAATGATCCTAGCAGCCTAGCCACTTGTTTCTTGTGATTATCCAATGAATCCTCGATGGACCACGTGCGCATTAGCCACCCCCAATCTTGTTGGTCTCCGGCCGAGATAGATAACCACCAAAACAGGAGACCTATCAGATAACATACACCCCCTCGTTCATAGCTGATGATACTGTAATGCGCCCGCGGCTCGTTCCAAGAGCAAAGGCTAGTTCTTCTTCTTTGGTTTTGGCGCCGGTTGACTGTCTCTAGCTGCGAATCTTGCTGTAGGAACTACACCGCACTCTTGTACTTGTGACCAGAACTGGCTCTTTCCGGGTCAAAAGCGACGTCCAGATTGACAAACACAATTTGGACGGGGGAAACAATCGCGACAAGATCCACAAAAACGACGGCGAATATGCGCGCATAGATTCGACTGATCGTCCTCATGATCTACCGTAGATCACCCAACAGATAACCCGGGCGGACACTCAGATGTCGATAAAGATAGTAAGCGTATCGGATCATGTGGTGTATGTCTCTCTGTTAGCGTTTTGCCCGAGGCCAAAGGAAGGGGCGGAAAGAGTGGGAGAATGACGAGACAAGGTGACCACTAGGATAGTTTTCCACTTCGGCATGTGACCCACACGCATAACATAGTATTTGATGTCGGTCTCCTACTCATGTCACTTCTTTTTTTTGTCGTCGCGCGCTTGAAGGAATCGAGGCAAGTTCTTTCGAGACTAGGGACCAGTTTCTAACGTCCTCGTCAGACCGTAGAGGAGATGTTCGAGTACGATTGCCCGCACGTGGTTATCAAAAAGGAAAAACTGCAGGAGCCATTGTAAGTGATATACGCATATGGCTAAACAGTACTAATATGCCGCGCAGATTCCGGGCAAAAACCGCCCGTGGGTTGGAATTATCCGACAAGCCGGCCATGAACCCAAGCTTACTCATGCTGTTTATACGGATAGCCCGAGCCATCGGACTGCCGGTGGGCAATTCGGCGTGCTGCGGCAAACCTGGTCGGTATCTGCTCTCATATTAGAATAGATCCTCACCTTGACTTGTAGTTTGGACTTATTTTGGGCAATGAAGTCGCTCGAAGGTTGTTGTCCCATGCTGAAGGGCTCACCGTGTATGAGGGACACTATTCAAAAGTTTGATAATGTACAGTACCAAGGATTGGGCTCACGAAGACGCCAGTTCGATAATCTCGCTCCGGCGGTCAATCAGGTACGAATCGACGTTTTCGTATAGCCGGGTGCTCACAGTAAACAGCATGGCTTGAATATCCAACGCAACAAAAACGTGATCGTCGACGCAATGCTAAGCTTGAGCATCGAGTCTGCACCCGATCTTGATGCTTCGGAGCGGCAACAAGAGGCGATCTAGGTGTGTATCAAGGACAAAATTTCTGGATGTTTCTAATCAACTTTCAGTCCCACGAAGAGCACCAACTACTCACCAAGATGGTTGCTGCTGCGTGGGACGAAATTTTGGCTATCTCCCAAAGGTCTATTCTATTTCATACGAACGCTATTGACAAGACAGAACAATGCTCGTCGATGTGACCATAAACTGGGTAGGTGGTACTCTGTAGGTACTCTGTACGACAGAGGGTTTGTGTAGGAGATCGGAGGTGTTTGGCATTGTAAAACATGGTAAAATGAATGTAGCCGTACCGACAGCTGCAGGACTCGAACCTGCGCCCTCGAAGAGGAATTGATAAGTTCCAATCCTTTGGATTCGAATCAATCGCAGTAACCACTTTGCTAAGCTGCCTTACTCCCGAGGGGTTTAAATTCATCTGATTGGTACCCCGGAGGACGGCTTTGCCCTCCTGTCCATAACATTCCAAGCGCAGAGAGTAATTGATATTATCCGACCCTAAGGATGCAGTAACCACTTTGCTAAGCCGGCTTGCTCCGTACGGCATGAAAATCAGTCATGAGTACCCCAGAATGGCGGCTTTAGTTGAAGCAGGCTCCTATTCTCGCCGGTTCCCAATACTATGCAAGGCGACTCAACAACCTAGTGTAAGACTGGTTCAAGGTTCACACGCTCCGGATACACTTTGGATTGCTTGCGGTGCAATGTGGATGCTCAATGGTGGAATTTTGCCGCGGCTCACGTTACTTGAGCGATCGAGTTACAAAAACGATTGTTTTATTTCATCCTAAATCGCATACAGCCTGGATTGCCTCGTATCTCATTCCTCTTTCTTGGTGCCAACAACTGGTATCTCAAAACTTGCCTCCTCTATAGGGGTTGTCGGAGCATCGTCTTCCTCCCCTCCACTCGAGACCACATGATCCGATAGTGGTGGTGGGGTTTCGGGGCGGAATGATTCACGTTCCTCATCGGGGTGGGTAGTGGACGGGTGGGTCAGGGCGACGAGTTCGACGTGCGAGACTACTTGCAACTTTTGAGAGGGCGGAACGGCTTTCTCAGACTCTAGTTCAAGACCACCGTGAAGGACTCCGACGCGCATCATTGCAAGGAGCTGCGGGCGGCGATTAGTTTGGGGTGCCTGAAAAAGAAATATTGGAACGGGCAGCTTACATTGTGTGCCGCGTTCGAGTGGTCGTATATGCCACCAAAAAATGCCGTTGTCGCGTCTTTCCCAATGTTTTTGGACAAGAGGTGTCGCCCACCGGGGTGTTCGTCTAAAAAACATGATACATCATGGATAAAACCCGAGATGAGAACCAAATTGCGTTCCTTGGCGAGCGATTGGACTGCCCAAAGACTCTTGTTAGTGCATACAGACTAGTCCCCATCTGATTGACTCACATTCATCCCATCCGATAACCGGTAAATCGTTCGAGCTCTTTGGCCACTCAATCTTGTCTGCTCTCTGCTTGATCCTCTTAAGCTCCATCGTCATTTGGCCCTTTTGAACCTCGTTATCCGGAAAGACCTTGAGGTGGCTGGCCAAACCGAACCACGACATCACGGTGATGAACCACTTGGTCGGATCGTACTGGTACCATCTAATCGCGTTGCGGTAGTCCATGGGGAATTGGTGATGAAAGTTGTGGTAACCTTCGCCTAGCGTAACGAATGCGGTTATCATGTGGTCTCTGGGAGTGTGTTTGTCGTCAAAGGGGGTCTCGCCTAACCAATGCGCAAGGGAATTGACACAAAAAGTGGACTAGTGCGGTGATCAGTCGCAAGTCAGCCGCAAGTTTGAATAACTCACATGATGAACAAAGAAGAGACGGGCGGCTCCAGCGTAGAAATATCCACCACGAAAGTCGCCCCAGAGCAACCCAGGAATCACAGTTGGAAGTATGAAGCTCATAAAGAAAACCAAGGGCAGATACCAACGATGTTGCCACTGAACAATTTTGTTACGGGCGAGATCGGAAACGTCGGCGACGCCAGGTTTTCGGCGAGGCTTGATTAGCATCCAACCTGAGATGAGAGTAAGCTAACCGACGAAACAAATGCCCTAGTCAGACGCACCAATATGGGACCAGAAGAACCCAAGGTGAGCATTGTACGGATCGAGTTCGGTATCGGTGTACCGATGGTGGGCCCGATGCCCGCGGGACCACCACTTGATCGAACCTTGAAACGCACCGGCACCTGCCATAGCCAAAGCATATTCCAGCGGTTTGGATGCATTGTAGGACCGATGTGCCCATAGTCGATGATAACCCGCGGTGATACCGAGCCCAGTCACAAAGTACCAAAGGGCCGCGAATATTGCAGTTTTCGTTTGTAGTGGGGTGGTAAGGCCGCCATACAACGCCACCAGAGGAACAACTGTTAGCCCAGTACAACTGATATAGTTAAGTTCTTTCCACCTGTCGTACTGATGAGCCAGGAGTATAGGTGTTCATACCCGGAAAGCTTACCAGTTTGACAGCGTTACTGGAGGAAGTGGCTTGGTCGTTTCAAGAGTATGTTGGACGTAATTATCGGGGATATTAAGGTCAACGGGAATCGTTTCATCATAAGCCTTGGATGGTGCGGCCCGTCGATACGATCGTGCAGGTACCATACTAGGAATCTCCAAGTAGAACCTCACAAGGATGGAAACTGGGGAGCGAATGAATATAAGAAGACGAGGTTCAGTACGGGTGTTATATGCGTGGAATCTCGCCCCGTTGGGGCGGCCGCCTATCCACTACAAATATCCGGAATTCCGAGACTATCACACCTGATGGTACTAAACGCCCCATCCGGGCGACACTCGGGGAACGGGCTACCGAAAGAAACCGATAAGCAACCAGGAGCTGAAGAAGATGGTTTCGCGCAGTCGAAACGAATCGTTCGGTTGGGTGGTGTCCGAGGCCGAGCTGCATCGGCCCGTCGACTCGTTGGGGAAGATCAGACAGGGCTGGATTGTACGGAATGGAGAGCAAGTGGCATTACTGCACCAATATCAACATCATGATGCTCTATGAACCGATCCCGCCTTTAATCAACTTGGCTCCGGTAAGCTGATCCTTGTCCCCCTCTTTTTTGACTATCACGCAATGAGTCATCTGAGGAAGACGGAGATAAGGGCTACACTTACCAACTGCATTTCCCGCGACTGTGGAATTCTTTCCGTCAGGGCCGCACCCACAATCATATGTCTCATCCAACTTGGTACAGTCAAACTCGGGTTTCTTCAGTCGTGCGTTAACCAGGTTGTGGACGTGGCATAGCCTAGTAGACGTTTACTTTCAAGATTGATTGTCGTCTTCGGTCGAGATGTACATACCAAAGGGCCGATACCATTCGTGACGAAGTCTGCGCATAAAAACGTTCAACCTTCTCATTGCTTGGGGGGCTGCGAAAGTTCTCACTTGAGGAGGATAATCCTTCAACAATTTCTGGAACTCCGCGGCGCACTCTCCACAAGGGTAAAGTCGGGATGTAAGGTAGAAAAAGGATTTGAGAGCGTCTCGCTCGTCTTCCGTTGGTTTCTGAATCAACGTTGAACAGATTAGTCCAAAGCTGGAAACACAAAAGAAAATAGCTCACGTCGGGGAACCTGAGTGTCATCGTATGCCTGCGGATGAACAATGGCACAAAGGAGCAATTCAAATGTTGGTTTATTGTTTTCTGCTATTGTCCACGAGAAGTCAATCGACATACATGAGCTTCCAAGTGGCTCGGCCAAGTTCTGCCCTAACAAACTAACTTCAGGAATTAGGTTGACGAAACAGTCCAAAATCGACTTACTTGGCAGTTGCGTTTCCAAGCTTGGGCATGATAACACCCCCTTGTGTGCCGGCTATTTGTTTTGACTGATCATTTATGCGTACTGATTTCTCCACCCCGCCCTCGCCAAAGACGGTGCCGGACGAAGAATCAACATAACTCGTTAGAGGATGGTGCGTGGTTAATGTGATGAGAGAAATTATCGCAATAATAGCGATTAACACGATAATGTAGCTCCTTGTGAACCTGGCAAACATGTTCTAGCGGCGAATCCAGTTATCGAAGAAACTCGGGAGGTGTATTAAAGCAAGAGTATCGCTTCCGGTTATCTTTTAGTAACGCAATATTTATATACAGTGCCGAGCAGCGATTAGACCAGCTAAAAGGTTCAGCAAAGATTAGAGCTTAAGGATGTGATGCGTCTGATGTCGTGGTTGTTTGTAGGAGGCGAGCCAAATATCGGCGGTTGGAGATCGACACTGAGATCAACCACCACTGGCGCCCGTTGAATCTTCGCAGAGTTTTCATACATGGACTCGACCCTCGAATCCTGGGTTGACAAAGTGAGCAATGCTCTGGAGCCGGTAACACGATCTATTTCTTCTATAGAGGTCATTAAACTGAACTATGCGATCAAACAGGAAGCTGTTGTCCGAGAGGCTCTTGAGGACGCTTTAGGGTCAAAGACACTTTCAATATTCAATGACCGTCTTCGCAGATTGGTTGCTTCGGATAGTGTTGGTAACCAGTTATTCATCTGCACAACCCCTTTAACTGAGGTCCGAAATCAAGTAGGCAGCTCTCCAATCAACCCCCCTCGACCTTGTGCCTATCATGCTTTACTCCGACAGCTCAATCGCCGATCAGCCCACTGACCTCTGTCAGACACTTGAGCTCATTGCACAGCACGGAAACGCCAAAGAAGTTCTTTTGGTCGTACAAGAATCGATAGATTCTCTCCTTCAGTCAACCAGGTCTAGAGACGATAACAATGAGGGATCGCTCCTCACAAATCCCGCTCATGTCGTTTGGAAATGGATTAACCTCATTAATATGTACACTCTGGGTGAGTGAAATGCCTATTTGCCTTGAGCTTTGCCTTACTGAATGTCGTTTAGCGTTCCCGCGTATTGTACTCCGGAAACGTTCGGCAACAGATACAGCTGGTCCGATAATCAAGCACCTTTGCAAATCGTTCGACGAACTCCAGGAGTATGTTCACCCCAACGGGGCGCAAGCGTCAACTATCGTGGACTCATGCATGGGTCTGGGGTACGCGCTGCTCAGGTGGTTCGACGCCACCCACACTGAACCAAATCTGGTTGCGGAATTCAAGGTGCTACGCTTCTCGTGTGACACTCCGTTTCATTAAGCGCTGAATGTCGTGATAGGCTTTGCTCCAGGATCTCCTGTTTCTTTCGGTGGCAATATGTGTTGGTCGTTTTACTCCTCGCTGCGGGTCTCAAATTGACGGAAACATTGTGGCAGCTTGATGATGAATTTGTGTTAGAGCAAAACAGCGCTTTCGTCGATCGTCTGTCAGTAAGTGGCCGCTTCATATATCCCCGCAGTCTAACGTCAATCTAGGCCGCAGGCTCAGATTTTCGACCGCCTAGTTTACT